ATGAGGTTTCATTATTAGATAATGGTATTGATGAATAATCTCGAAAATTATTTTGTTCAGATAATTGTGAATTGTTTAAATAAATATTACATTGTTCAAATGATTGAATTGGATGATATAGTGATCCTTCATTTGTTCCTGTTGCTGCTGTTGTTGTTGTTATCCATGAGGATGATGATGATGGTGATGTTTGAGAATTATCAATACAAAATTGTTCATAATTATTTACTGGAATATTTGTTGTTGCTGTTGTTGTTGTTGTTGTTGTTGATGAAGGTGATGGAGATGTATATGTTTCATAAACTGATGATGGCTGAGAATCTAATGTACAGATAGTTGGTGAACGATATATAGGATGATGATGTTTAGTACAATAGGATGGTGGTGGATTATAAATATAATTATCATCAAGTAAATTATAATGATTTTGTTGATGTATATCAATAATTGAATTGTTATTCGATGTAAAAGTATCAATCGGTGTTTGTAAAACAGATGTTGTTGTTGTACTACTAGTTAAGTGAAAGTGATGGTTTGATTGAAGAATCGTATTCGAATTATGTGTTTGTAGGTGTTGGTGTTGGTATCGATTCATCATGATAGATGATGATGGAGATTGATGTGTTTTTTTTTCTGTATGTTCTTCTTCTTCTTTTCGGTTTTGTTCGTTCTGTTTATGTTTTCTTTTTGAAAAATCGTAACGAATTGACTAAATGTTGAAGTGTTTTTCTAGAAGATCTGTCGGATTTAATTCAATGAACTCATCAATCTAAATACTAAGGAAGAAAAATGTTTTTTTTCTCTTTATTCCTTTTTTTCAGACAAACAAAAAGAAAAAGAAAAAATAAGAATGATAGATTCTTCTTGCATATGTTGTGAAATATGAGATTGATCATATATGGGTTATGGTGTACTTCTTCTCTCTTCGTTAGTTTATCGGTATTAGGTTTTTCTTTTTCTTTCTTTTCTTTTCTTTTCTTTTCTTTTCTTTTCTTTTCTTTTCTTTTCTTTTTCTCTTTTCTCCTTTTGCTCGCTTCTTGATGTTGTGTTGGTCAGCATTCTCGATTACTCAAAGACAAAAAATTCCCATTGATCCAAAATGCTTACGATCAACAGCGAATGAAATTATTTATATATATATATATATATATATGTATTTATATATACTTGTAGGAGTCAAGATAAAGGAAGAGAAATATGGATTTTTTTTCTTTCCTCTGTTTTTTGTCATCAGGCTCTTTCCTTTTTTCTCAAGTACTTGTGTGTTATATTTAACTAAAAAAAAAAAAAGAGATAATATTACGAATAGATGTAAGACGATGGATGGATAATAAAAATGTGTTAATAGGAGAGAATATTGACTAATAAAGAAATTATTTTCTCAGAAGTGTATTTCAATAGAGAAGATGATAATATCGAAATCGTTTACACAAGTCATTAGCATGCTTTTCTTGCAAATGATAAAATGTGGCGAATGATATGATGTTTTTTCTTTGACAGTATATTAACAGGATAGATAATTCTTTTTTTCAAACAAAATTGAGTATATTTTATATATGCATTGACATGCATTTCAACTCGTAAGGGAATTTTTTTTCCTGTTTTCAATCGATAAAAATAAAACAAGTACCGGCATTAAATATTGTCATTCTCTGATGTTTTTATTTTAATTTTCATATCCTGTCGGCAAAATAGTCGATTCTTCTTCTCTCCTATCATCAGGACAGCCAGTGATTTGTGACCATAGAGAAAAAAAAATCACGCTCGGATTGCTTGACTTCTTCGTTTTTTTTTAACTATGCACATATTTGTGAGTCTCTTGAGATTCAAAGAGAAAAAGAAGAAGCGCATACATATACGAGTAAACCCATTGCGCATAGTAACTATAATCACTGAAGTGAACAGTACTCACACGGTGGTGAGCAATACATCGATCGATCATCCCTCTGACGACGTGTCGACACCCCTTGTGCACACATATATGCGGGGCACACAAATAGATAGACATCTCTAATATGCGAGTGCCGCACATACACACACATATATATATGTATACTGCGGCAAGTGGAAAAAGGAGAAAATGAGCTAGACAATGACGAAAGCGATGAGAAAGCATGTCGAAGGTTGTTGTTGATTGCTATTCATTCATTTTTTTTGATTATATCTAGTACTTTGTTAAATATGGAGATATTCGTTTTAAAAGGCACAAAAAAAGACGACAAAGAATTAATATATAGAATTAATGAATATATTGCCTGGAAGGAAAAAGACAACAATATTTATATGAACATGACAACTTGATTAAAAGTTTTTGATTAATTATTATGACATAATTTTGTTTGTGATTATTAAAAAGACTTTAATGAAATATATATGCTTATAAACAAGTGTAATAAAGAAATTTTGAATTGGAGTCAGTTTTATTTTTCTGTCTTTGAAATGAAATTCGAAAAGAAAAATGTAATTTATCTGTGTTAAACAATCAATTGCATAATACTCTATATCAAATTGTGCTGTATCGCCTACACGTGGTCACCGCAATATTCTTTAGGGAGCGAAGTATCGACAAAAAATATAAGATTTCGTTGATGTTTTCATTAATACTTTTTGATATGATTTAACTTTTATTGTTACCATTTATCAGGTAAGATCGATTCATTTGTGTTTTCAAAACGAAAATATTTATTTATACTAATATCTGATTAAATATCATTATATACGATGAATATAATTGAGTTTTTACTTTTCTTTTTACAATTTTGGAATTTGATATATCATGGATTAAATATTCATATAAGTTCGCAATTTTTTTTCTTAATACACTTTTGATAGTATACAGTTATTCTTATTTTTATTTCCAATAGTGCACACACAATTGCCATTTAAAAAGTATCCGGACTGATTTTATTTGACACCAATAAGAAGCGCTACTGTGTTTGTCTTATTGTCTGTGTGTACTTCATAGACTCCTCTATCCATAGACATGATAAACTCTGTTGAATTAAACATATATATGAAAAGATAGAAATACATATAAGACCACTGTTTGTTCACTGACTAAAAACTAAAAACTTGAGCAAAGTTTTATGTTTTGTAAGGTTAGTTTCCATCCAATATTTATTAATATATGGTGGCAGCTTACAGTAATCATGCTGTATTAGATACTACGATATTTGAATGGACTCGTCGTTTTAAAGGCGAATAACTAACTAACAATGGTAGTTTTATATATGGTCGATACATCGTTCACATCATGTCTGAGAATGTGCTATTTCCTTGAACTGACTTTAGTCATATATAATTGGTCAGTAAAATGTGGTATACCATACATTTGAAAGATGAATAGTGTCCGCTATTTACTCAGGAGAAATTCGACTATATTCGATCATCAAGCTTCTACAAGTTTTAATAGTTATGTTATTCACATCTAGATAATTATCAATGTATAGTAATCCATCTTTAAAACAATGACCCTATGCAGAAGCTGCAGTAAGAAATAGAGAATCGACCGTTGCAAACTACCACTACACTTTCATAAATATTAAATGAATCATGTCCTAATAAAACAAAAAATTTAATCACTGAGGGATGCTCAAAATTTTGATTTTTCTGTCAGTGTATAAACAGTGATCTCAAATGTGTTTCTATATTTTCAAATATGCGTTTAATTCAACCGAGCTTATCATGTCTATGGATAGATGAGTTTATGAACTACACACAGACAATAATACAAATACACTACCGCTTCTTATTATTTTTAAATAAAATTAGTTCGGATTAGAGCCCGTCGGGTAGGACCCGGACTCGATCGGTTCCGGTTCTAAAAATTTTTTAAATGACTGGGTACGGGGCCAAGAAAAGCTCAAAAAAGCGAGTCCGGGTACGGTTTCGGGTCCAAAAACTTTGTACCCGACGAACTCTAGTCCGGATACTTTTTGAACACGCTATGTAAATACAAGCGTTTGAGTAAAGCTACTATTTAACTATACGTGAAAATGCAGTGTAGACTTGTATTTCTTGTTTTTTTCGGTCTTGTTAACGATATCTGTCGTTTTATTACAAACACACAGTAAGTCATAAACATGAACTTAATTCAAATTTTTTTTAATACAATACTTAGTTTTCTCCTTGAAATTTCGAATTGTCTTACCAGAAGCTCGAATTTTGATAAATATACTCGTAAGGAGTATGGATGTGAGTCTCATTGAAGTGAATATCCACACCCACACTCTCCAGCTACTTAATCATTATGTAATTGCTTAATTTGTTATTGCTTTTCCTTTATAGTATTATTTCGTGTAACTAACTATCTAAAATCATGCGCTATTTAAAAAATATCATAGCTAATTAAAAGATTTAATCCCTATTTAAAAAGTGATACAGCTACTACAGCAAAAACGATGAAAAAGTAAAGCTGAACGTTGAAAACATAAAGCTGAAGAATTATTTGAACCAGAAGAATTATAAAGTGATTATTTAACTGAATTCGATACAAATATAAGATGAATTTATGAAGCTGAACGATTTCAAGTTAGATTAATTTATTTTTTTACTGTTAAAAAATGTTATTAAATACTTTTAGTTAAGACGTATTCCAGTTGTTGAAGCTAAAAATAAGATCAAACCTAAAGATAAAGTAGAATGAATTTTTAATGAAGCCTTTCTTAAATCAGCAATATCTAGTCAAGTAATTAAAGCATTTTAAAAAATTTAATAATAATTTAATTCCATAATCAATCAATCTTTGTCAGAAAAAATCACGTACCACTTATTACATTCTATCGTAAAGAACATATCAAACCTGATCTTAAAATCAATGATCTCTGGAAAATCTGACAATGAGATGAAAAGATACAAATAATTCTCTTCCGAAAAACCCAAACTCATTTATTTTTTTCTGTAATAGTGGATGATATTTAAATCTCAAAAGATAAATACTTGCAGAAATCGCTGATTTACGCGAACAATTTCATGTTTATTATAATGAAGATTTACCAAATATGTGTTTAAGGGGAAAAGTTCTGAAATATCGTGATAAACGTAAAGAATTAATAACAGACATTGAAAAGGATGAAAATGATGAAGAAACTTTAGTTGAAAAAATACGTACACTATTAATTATAAAATCAACATCCTTTATTAAAACAGATTATTATCGTGTTTGTAAACAAGCACATTTAGAAGGTATAGTCAAAAAATTTGGTTTAAAACTAGATAAATTAGGAGAAAACCTTCATGAAAATTATAAAAAGAAAAATGAAATTGATCAAAATCCTATTGAATCATTAGCAACATGTAAAGAATTTATTTGTAAACAATTTCCAAATACATAAGCTATTCTACAAGTAATAAATAATAGTAAGAGTTTATTGTTAACTACATACTCAGTAGTTTATGTACACTGATTGTTCACGACCACGATCATCACAGCATAACTGTCACTATCTTCACCACTTGAAGAAAAAAAGATCATGTAACCGTATTAATGTTAAAACACATTAAACTTATCCTCTTCTTCAATGCATAGGACCATCACCACCACGGGATGATGATTTTTTAGGCATGTTATTCTAGTTTTCATCACCATAATTTTGTGTAGTAACTTCATATGAATTGAAATTAGATAAATGGTGATGGTGTTGATGAAACATTATTATATTCACCACTTCCACCTGATGATAGTGGTGGTAAATTAAATGGATTATTCATTCCGCGAAAATTATTTAGATTATTTCCAAAGCCTCGTTGTTGATTTGGTCCATAAGATGATTGATTTGAATTATTATTAAGAGGCATATTTGAAGCAGACCAGGCTTAAGTTCTTAGCCTGGTTATGATTTAATACTAACATTTACAGTATTCAATTCTAAGAATAAGACGACTTCACGAGTCGATGATGACTGCCTCTGATATTTTCTGTTGATCATCAAGTCAAATCAATGTTTTTATACTTTTTATAAGGTTTTCTGATCGTGTTTGTTACTATTAACTTTCAGTTCTCGGACATATAGAATTTTCAATCTCTTTCTGAATTTTCTCCTTTGATGATACACAGCTACAATTATTTCTAGCACTTTTTGTGCCAAAACTATTTAAAATTCTTCTTACTTATTCAATCTTATACTAAGGAAGATAGCGTTATTAAGTTACAGAGTTTCATGGTTTCAAGAGCTGGTCTAAACTAGAATCGAATTCAGAGTTTCGTTTAATGAACATGATGGAGAATTAAGTCTTGCCCACTTGTACAATTATCGTGCGAATAAAACTCATGAAACCGTAAGATTAGTAGAAGGTTTTAAGCTAATTTTGAGAAGTTCTCATTCGTACGTATTTCAGATTGAAGATACCTTACATATCAGCAAGTATTCAAGATAATCGATACTTTCCATATCCATCTAGTTATAACTTTATTCCAAAAGAATTCAAATATCTCCACATAAATTTCTAAGTTTCAACATCTACTTTATTGACTACATCTTTGAAAGTGTTTCATTTCAGAACTCAGGTCCGTATTCATGTGTCAAAGATTTTCATAAAACCGATCTTAAAATTGATTCATGAATGCTCTTAGTTGCAAATTGGCATACTAGATTCTATTGCTCTCATGAAAACAAGTCGGATCCCAAATTCAAACGTATACAATGGATTAATGGTAATTTGTAAATATCATAATTTACCATTGATTGTTGTGGCATAGGTAGTGGAAGTTGATTTTGTCTTATTGGATCCAATGATTGTGAATAATCACTATTAGGAGATATTGGTGGATTAAAACGTGATACATATAAATTATAACCATGTTGACCATATGATGATGTTGATGATTGATTATAATTTGGATTATTATTAAAATTATCTCACATTGGTTCAACATTATTTTGTGGTACAGTAAGAGATGGTGACGTAGTAGAAGCTAGTGGATCAGAATTTGCTGCTGAATGATTCTTCGAATTATTACGAATGAATGAAGACATGCTAGGACTACTAGATGGTGAATTAGGTCCGGATTGTTCTTGCATTTTTTTATTTTGGTACAGCTCTTTCCACTTCTAACGTTCGGCTATTGATGACATGTGGTTTTTGGAGAAGAGCTTTATCAATAGCCTCGAAATCAGCTAATTCAACCAATCTAAAACCATGAGATTTTCCTTAAGCCCCCCCCCCCCCCCTAAAAAAAGTACATTTTCGCCAGAAATTTCGAAATTGAGATAAATGCATGGGAAGATAGCTAGTCTTCAGAGGGTGTGGGCGTGGGTAGATAAAAGAGTTACACACATTCCATATCCACCCACACCCTCCAGAAGGAGCCCTTAAGATGGAGTACAAACCACTAGTTTCATGTGAGAACAAGCTAGTTCTGGTGTGAAATGACCTTCTCTTCAATCATCGAACATCACCGTCTACGGCGTTGCAGGATTGAATAAATAGCTTTTCGACGCAAACATCTAAATGAAACTTTTTTCTATCGTATGATAATAATGTCAGAAAAGTTGAGATCTTGATCGTTTCTTTATTGATATGAATGGTTATAAATATTTTAAAAGTAAAAATGAACTATGCTTCATTCGAACACAACAACTTCGTTAACATGAAATGGTGTCACATTTGAAATTTGTGAGTACGTAGGCAGCAATGCCTTCTAATTTATAACCGTTTGAACCAATCAATCCTGGCTTGATAACGCCTATTTCACATGGGTTGACCGTGTAAAAGTGATGGTCTTTCAGGTACCGATAGAAAGGGCACGTGCCAGGCTGTTTTGTTGCGTAGACATATCCAATTATTCCTTCCATCATCCAGCCCTTAACAATTACACCAGGAACATCAGTACCAATTTCAGCCCAATTTGTTGTGTAGAAATGCGAATATGTATTAGCAGAATATCGATATAAAGGTATTGTGTTAGGCTGCAATGTCGCAAATATATTACAGGCGACACCTTCAAAAACATATTGGTATTTACCAATACCACCGGGCATAATTGTTCCAATTTCATCGACGCTTGTTGTATAAAAATAAGCACCACCACCAGCATATCTATACAACGGGATCACATTTTCTACAAGAACAACGTAGTTATGATTAGATTTCATAGCGAAAAAAACACCAGCTCATCTGATTTCTACATTATTTGCTCAGATTTTGATCATATTTGAGTGAATTGGTGAGGAGAGAAATCTTACTTCGCCGTGATAGGCATTTCAACATACTGATCTTTCAGACGTGTTACAAACCTGGAGAGACAGATAGAATCGACGAAGCTTCCTATAGTCTCACTGACCTTGGAAGACAGGCCGAGTAAAGAAAGCTGTCTAGCATCACATTTCGTGACAGATATATCTATATTTTGGTTTCTCTGATCGTTCAGGAAACTATGATAAACATGAACAGTTCCTCATAATGTATGCAACGGATCCATTGTTTTTCACATTTTAATCCAACAAGAACTATACTGAAAGGTTGTTGAAAAATTTACAGTGAAAAGAATTCTTCGAGAAGAAGGAAGTATATGTCGCAATTGATATGAAAATTCAGTTGCGTTTGGAATGCGCGAAAAAATAAAAATATTTTCTTCGAAAAAAAAAATTATAATAGGAATAAGACTTTATAAATAAAGCAAATTAACTGATTGAGACAAGAGTTCTTAAATTAAAATTACATTGAACACTTTACATAAGATCTTTCAATCTTTTTCTCTAGGCCTTTTTTCTTTTAAAGTGTTATCAAAAAAATCCGATCCAAAACTTAACAAGAATGATACCGCATCATACATCATCGATTTTAGAATTGAAACAACAGATTGAACTCTCGATTTCATTAGTGCTTTTAACCATTCATTACCCTCTAATATCATAATTATATCTTGCACATGTGGTGTAATTCATCTTTGCTTTTCAGATCGTCTCCTACAGACCCCTGCTCATTTTAATAAATATTTTTCAATGTCCCCATATTTCCATGATAAAAGAAAAAAAAATTGTCGAAATATATATAGTTTGTTTAACAAAATGAAATCCAGTCCATATATACTGTTGTTGATCTATACAGTAGCAATCTAAATATCTCTTTTATCAAGTAAAGCTGAAGATAGGATTAAACCATGTTATTAATAAGTAGTTTTTTTGTATAAAAATTCACAATATCTTTTACAGAAAAATTACAAAACACTATTTCGGCCTCAACCTAATTCTAAACTCACTTTCTATATGTTCTTCGTTGTGCGATTGAACGCCAGATTGACATGACGCTAGAACAACGATGATTATTGAATGTACTAACATTTTTATCATTAAGAGACGAAATTTTGACGTATTTATAAGTTCGATTAAATACAAAATCTTTTGATTATTCGCTTCACGCTTCGATAATTATTTGAAAAACGTGTATGTTCTCTTCTAATAAAAAAAATCAATGTAATTGAGTGCTCCTTTCGTGCCAAATCTGTATCATGCATGAGAGAACAAACGTAGGACGAAAGCGATCCGTTTTCGGAGTACGAGAGGTATTCTGAAGCGGAAATCATGAAATATGCAAATAACTCACACTGCACTTGATGCATTCTTGAGATCAAATTATTGCTTTAATAATTTCAATGACTGGGCCAGTTTTTCGTTTTTTCAAGAGTGAAAATACATTTTCGAGTTTTACTACAGTCAAAGTGGCCGATGGAATTTGAAGGCGAATAACGGTGTGTACATCTGAATGAGTGCACGATGCCTAAATGAGTGTCATAACTTCATCCCAACCCACCATCGCTCATCTTCAAACAAGATTCTCAAAAACCCGTAATCGGAAATTTCAAGATCAGTTAGATGGTTTGGTTCAAAGTAGTAGGATAAGGATATGAGTGTGAGTGTGCGTCTGTTGAATAGAAGATCCACACCCACATCCACAGCCGACTATTGCTGTCACAGTAAGATACTTTTAGCGCGATGTTTTTAGTTTGAGGAATATTATAAAAGTAAATCTGACTTTCTGTTGATTCTTTTTCTGTAGCTTATTGAATCTTACTTTTATAAATAATTTTTATGAATTTTTTCGTCACCAAAAAGACAATGATATGGTTTTAGAATATTTTTTATTGTTGTCGATTCGATGACATCAAAATGAGGAATCCATAGAGAATATAAAATTATTACTTTTTTCCCGATTCAATGAAGTACAACCAGAAAAAACATTATCAATAGTTAACTTTTTAATTCTAAATTTGGACAAAATATTTATTTAAGTTCATGAATAAATAATTTAATAAAGGTCATTATCATGTTCAAAATTCATTGAACCGATCATCGAGTTGAATATTTCAATAATCTTGAAGTTGATCTATTGATATATCGTTTTGAAATTCTTTTTTTTTCTCAACACTGATTAAGATGTTGACAAAATTGTTTTATTTGATATTTATCAATGGAAGGTCACGAATAATGATCAATAAGATAACCAACAAGACAATTACAATCATAAGCATATTTTAAAGGTTGTTGTATATAACAACGCCATATAATATCAATCTAAAAATATAAAATTGATTTTGCTGTTATATATAAAAATCTTTCATAAAGTTTTTTTAATCATTTCATTGTTGATGATTTCAAATCAATTGATTGTAATAGATCAAAAATTCCAATACTCCATATATTTTTGCAAAAAGATATGATTCATAAAATGTTTGCATAAATTAATCTAATATGCATCAATAATCATTTCAGCTTCTGTAAATAAAGATGGATTTCCATAATCATGAAGCGGAATTGATCAAAATTGAAAATGTATTTTACTCCAATAAGAATAAATTTGAATTAAATATTGAAATCTATCATAATAAGGACGAGGATATTTCGATGAAGATATTTTATCATTTTTATATAATGGTAATGAACAATATTTTTCATAAAAATGTTTTTCATATAAATAAAATGTATCTAAAACAAGCTGGTTCTTTAAAAGTTTATTCAGTATAATTTTATAATAATGAATAATCAGTAATTTGATGAAATAGTCGAAGACAATCGTTTTCATACAATAGTGGTTTTAAAATATGTGTCTGTCAAACTATTTCAATGTCTATTTTTTGAACAAGTAATTTTTTAGGATATAAAACTTTTAATTACATAAATCGATAATATCGTCGAATCATTTGTTGTAATATTACTGATGTAAGTCATTTTTTTATGAAATTTTGAAGTTTTTTTCTAATAATAATATTAATACAGAAGTAGTTTTGTCAATATTAACTAATAATTGAATTGAATAGTCGGGTGTGGGTGTGGGTGGATGTGGGTCAAGAGACGACAAGCCACTACACTCACACCCAAAATTTGAATTTGTTTTCTTTAAATGAATATAATTTAGCGAAGAAAATAAATATTTTGATTTCTAAGCACCGTCATTAGAAAGATCAAAGTTTCAGTTGTCCTCATTAATAAATGAATCTTAGAATGTTCTTCACATAAGAGTTAATGAATGGAATTCATCAAGTGATAATCTAGATATTCAATGAATAAAAATAATTAGTCTTATGGTATTTTTTAGATCAAACAATCTGCTTTGATAAAATTTTCTCGGGAATTCCAAATATTGTCGCTTCAGTTGTTTATTTAAATAAAAATAAATTATTAAAATTGATTTTATGATGACAATAATTTTCTTTAAATTTCTACAATATTCTATAGAAAAATTCTTTGAATTAACATCAAAGATTTTATTAGGATTCTGAAACAAATAATTGACCGTTAGAATTATATTTCAAAACATTAATCGTGAAGGTATTAATCGACAACTGGTTGCATGTATTGCACATAAATATTTCTACTTACAAAAGATTCTTTTATTTTGTCCTCACAAAAATAGTTCTTGTTATTAAAAACAGAAGCTCTTTGAATAAAAAAAAAGTCATGAATATTGACTATTGTAGATTTCAGAGAGCGTTTTTTTCTTTATTAAAATATTGAAGCTGATAAAGTTTTTAATTCATTATCTCAAAATGTTGAGATATGATTTTTTTATAGATTATTTTATTCGACGAATCAACTTTTCTGCTATCAACAAATAGATGAATTATCATTTTTTTCTCTTTTATTCAAAGAAATAAATCGACTCTATTTAAAAAGAGAAACCTGAATTCGGATATTTGTTTGAATAAAAAGATCGAATTTATAATGAAATATTTTCTAAAAGAAGATCATCTGTAAAATGAAAATCGAAAAAAACAATATTCTCAAGTTGAAAATATATTCGAATGTGCAATATTTAAAACATCCTTCGTTTTTTATTTATATAGATAAAATCAATCAATTCGAATGAACAACATATTGAATGATCAATTGAGAAATTGCCTTCGGAATATTTTAATCGATCGATTAACTTTCATTTTATTCAACTATCACTTTATTGTATTTAGGATTTTTATAATGTAAAGAATCTAACGAGGGAACATTCTCAAGTGATACCAACTATTCGGGCTCACATTTTGCTCATAAGTAGGACCCAGGGAGACTAGAAAAAGTCTAAAAGATTTCGTGCCATTAGACCTTTCTTTTAAAGTTATGACCGTTTTACTGAATTTTCGGCCCTGGATATGGAATTTGTAGAAAAATCAAATGATGGACTTTCGGGCTAAAATTTTGCCTAACAATATGTCTCATTGATATTAGAATATAGTAAAACTTTCAGTTAAAATTGATTCTTCCTTCTCGAGATATTGCATATTGAAGAAAACGGTCATTTTCCAAAAAATTATCGTGAAAGTCACTTTTCTTCAATATGCAATA